CTGGTTCTTCCAGCTCTCCAGCTTGCAGAAGGCCATTGTGGACTATCCAGCTTCTGGTCACGTAAGTCAACCTGATAGATCCCCTTTTTATAATTATGTTTCCTATTGATTCTATTCCTCTAGAGAACCCTGACTAATAGAGGATGGTACCCAGGGCTTGCACAGGCTAGAAAGGCACTCTACCACAGAAACACTCTCCCAGTATTTAGAAACTTTCAGGCTGTAAATAGGAAGTACTCTGTTTTCTAATGAGGCTGCTATTAGGCCTTTTACAATGGTCATACTGTTGACTTTGAATATTCCTTTTGAATAATTTGTTCTCTACACTGGCAAACTTGCTTGATAGTTATACATAAATATATAAAATTACCACAACCATGGGGCTCGGGTTGTAGCTCAGTGGTAGAGCATTTGCCTAGTACATGTGAGGCACTGGATTGGATCCTCAGCACCACATGAAAATAAGTAAAACGTTACCATGTCTATCTACAACTAAAAAAAAAAAAAAAGAAATTAAAGCCACCACAACCATATAAAGTAGTTTTATGACACTGTGTCCTTTTTCATTTTAAAATAAATAAGAATGATGCATCTGGTCTTATGGATATAATTTTAGTTTCTACCATCAAAACAAAGCCTTATTTTCAGAGTTACTATATAAGTTCCATAAAAACATTTCTTGTTTTAACCTAAGAAAGGCCTTTTAATGAGCAGAGATTATGTTGACTTATTAATATCACTGATGTGTATTTCATCATGTTTTAGTACCTACTGAAAGTAATTTGGCATACTTACTGTTTTCTTCTAAAATGACTGCTATTCCTGAAAGTGCCTGGCTGGAATTTTAATTATAAATTGGCTTTCTTTTTTTTTTTCCGCCTAAATAAGAACACCACAGACACTTTGTGCAATTTAATTCTATAAACATGTAGCATTGTTCTATGTGCTTGAAGCTCAAGTATAAATAAGACATGATCTCTGGTCTTAAAATGCTCATAATGAGCTGTAGCACTGGACAGGTAGACAACTTAAAGACTAATACCAGCAGTACAAGTTATATGAATAAGGACTACAGGAGAACAGAGAAAGAAGTGATGTAACTTTTCTAGAGAGAAAGGAAGACAATCATAGATTGCTTCACAAAGGAAGTGCAATTGAAGGCAAATATAAATTAGAGATTGATCATCATATTCACACAGCAATTCAGCTACCATGCTATTGATCCTGCCTACTCTGTGCTAGGCTCTGGGACTAAAAATGTGTTCTGGGCTCTCAAGAGGCTCATAGTCTAGGCACACTTTGCTATATCAAGAAAGCATAAACATTATTCACCTGCCTACCTCCCCCTTTCTATTCAGGTTTCTTACTCTCTGATTTTACTAAACTAGATTCATACACAAAATGGAACTTTGAGTTCAAATGTTCTTTCTTTTTACATTCTTTTCATTTCAGGTGCAGTGAAAGAACTAATGGCTAATAGTGAAGGGACTATTAACTCTAAATGCTACTACCATGCTATTTTCTTATAACATTAATTGATTCATTTACTCACMTATTTGACCAATATTTATTAAGCCCTGACTGGGATAGAAAGATGGGTAAGACAAGTGACACTCAGTAGCAACATAAACAGCCAAGTAAAAATTTAATTACTGTGTGATACCTGTTGCAACTGAGGTTCAGGCAAAGTAGGAGAAAATCAATTTTGGTGTAGAGGGCAGGGAATAACTTGAAGAGAAGAATTTTTCCTTGGTGAATTGGACAGCTGCTCCAGATGCCAGAAACAGCATGTGAAAATGTGTACAGATGCCCAGCCATCATCAGCAAGTTTGGATTCTGCTGTTTCCATTCCAAGGCTCTCAGAATTCTTGTTAGGGGTCCTACACTATTCCCCAGCACACAACCATGAGAGATTTCTTTCCATTCTTTTCTTATTGCAAAATTTGCTATTAAAACATTCAATTTATTTCATGTCTTCCACAGCAAACAATCTTGACATGATTATTCTTTCCCACACTTAAAGACGCCCAACAGTAATATTTTCTTTTCCTTCACTAAAATATATATTTTACCTCCAACTCTATTCTGGATTAATGTGTATTTGCAGTTATATTATCATCTAGGTACTTTTATAAGCACTTATTTAAAACTCCTGGAGCCACATGTTGTATTTTGGATATTAAAAAAGTAAAATGGTCTGTATTTTCCAGTTTATCAAATACTCCCACCTCTCCTCCCAACAGAGTATTGGCCAGCAACCTGGAACCAAACATATTCGTCTCTCTGCAATAAAGATTTAAATGTTCTCTAAGAAGAATAAACACAGATTATAAATTGCCTCACATCAGTTCAGGTTAGGTTTTCTGCCAAATAAGTAATGTAAAAATATTTAATTTCAGAACTTAAATTTTTAAGGATTATGGCCCTGTATTGTGGTTATCTTCATTTTGAAGCTTTGGAAACAGATTTAGAGAGGTTAAGTAACCTACACAAATTGCCTAGCTAGTAAGTAATGGAGCTGCACATTAACCCAGCAGTCTTATCTGTAACTTTCGACTCTTGTCCTATATGCAGTTTACTGACTAGATGTCTTGCTTCTTTGGACATTCAGAATCAAGTATTAGATTTCTGCTCTTGCCCCTTCTATTTTATTTCTCTTCTAGCTCAAAATTATTCACTTCTAGCTTTCTCTATCAAGAGATGTTTGTGCCTGCTTCTAGCTAACTTCTCATTTCTGACTTTTGTACTACTATTCTTTTTTTTTCCCATTCCTTTTTTCCTTTTTGGCAATGCAGATCCTTGCAGCCCTTTATTACATTGATGTGTGACAATGCAGATTCCTGGATGAACCTCTATCCACCATATCAGGATGCATGAGTGTGCTCAGGAATCTACATTTCTCACATGCATAACTCATAGATTTGTAAGCACAAAAAGACAAAAGATCAGCTATTTGTGAAAGATGTAGAGTAAAAATGTACTTCCCAAACAAATTTTCCTGTCTAAAGAAGTCAGCTATATCTAGTGAGGTGCCCCTTCTCTCATCTTCATGCTATAAAGTATAAGAGAATCAAGCCACTCTTTAGTTAACAAATGAATATATGAGTTGCTTTGGAAGACACACACATGCGTGCACATGTGTACACACACACCACACACCAGAAACAATAAGAATGAACAAATAGGAAGTCACCTGTATTCCGGATCAGAGCATTTTGATTCACTATTGGGGAAATTAACCTAAAGGGGATATTCACCTATTGTTTTAGTCACGTCAGCCCACATTGGACAATCTAGGAACATAAACCTATTACTAGACCATCTGCTTGCTCCTCAGCTCAGCGTTGAGAAATGAATCATTATTATAATCACATAGGCAAATTTTTTTAACAATTGATAATGCTGAAAATTACACTTATGCTGATGAAGGCTGGACTTACCAAAATTAATTCTGAATCTAGATTCAAAGAAAATCAATTTCCATTTATGTCATTGACACACATGTCCCTATCATTATCCATCCTTTTTTGAATACGTTAAGTTTTGAAATGAGTGTGAAAGTGCTTTAAAGACAAAATGTTACAGTATAATGCTGCTACTTTCATTTTGGCTCACATGGCAACCTCCCAAATTTGAGACAATGCTTTTATACATGGTTATAATCTACAATGTCAGAAACAATTTCCTTGAGATATTTACATTGAATGAGTATAATGTCATTTGTGAAAAAAATTTTTTAAGTTATAAACAACCTGAGGATATTGATAGTCATTGATAAAGGCAAGAACACTCACTGTCTACATACTGCAGACTCAGTGTATGATAATATGATTAGTTACACTAACAATGCTGCTTAGGCACTGTCTTGCTAATTATAATATTATAAATATTAATGTCACAGCCTTTCTGTTTGATTGCCACTCATGGAGTCATTCATCATGATATTTTCCTGGAACCCACATTGTAAGATTTTATTTCTTTCCCTCTCTTCTTTTTCATCATCGGACCTGCAATCATACACATTATTTTTCAAGAAGGCTTTATTTTTGGCTGTCTGCTAGGAGAGGGACAGTGATATTTCCCATTTTTCACCATCCAGTTTTAAGATGTTTCTCTTATTCTTGCTGAGTCCCTCCCCCAGTTATCCAAGGCACAGTACCCAGGGTTTTTGTTTTCCATTCTTTTTCATGTGACCTGTTTCAAGTTAAGATTCATTTGAATTATTAAATGCTTCCTTAAAGAATCTTTTTATACTGACTCTCTTTTTTTAAAAGTTAATTATTGATGTAGTGACAAGCTGAAAAGACTAAGAATGATAATTTTTTTTCCTCCCCTCTTTCAGGAATCAAGAAATGTCTTCTGACAATGGTTGCCTATTTAGAATAACACAAAGGAAACAAAAAGGCGAAATGCTGAATGTTGTTTTAGAAAAGAGTTGCTAAAATCACTGTATTATACAAAATGTAAATGTAGTGTATATTTCTCAGAAAATAACTGTTAGTGAGAAAGTTAGGATCTAACCTTTTCAGCCCAGGTTTAGCCACACAGCAGAAGCAGTTACAAAAGATACTGATTAGATTTTAATTTTAAAAACTTCATCATATTATTCAGGACTTCAGTGATTTGATTGTCTTGCAAATAGAAAGGTAATGCTATAATTTCCAGAGCTTGTTAAAAAATAAAGAAATCTCTAGTCTCCCACTGGAAAGAATGCCAGTCATCACCACAGTAAGCATGAATTTGGAGGCACTTTACACTACAAACTTCAATCTTTTCCTTTTATATGACCTTGTGTTATCTTGGTTTTATAAAAAGGTAACTCACAGACCCATCATATAGCTGTAATCAAGCCTGTTCTAGAATGATTCTACTGCAAAAATCACTTCTGCAGGTACTGTATTTCCTCTGTTACTGAGAATGTGGGAAGGTAAACAAGGTCTGAAATAGCAACACGCTGAAGCAGAATTCTCAAGGACAACATTGGAGAGGTGAGCACATACCTTTCCCATGAGCTCAGCAATTCGTGGAACTGGTTTCCCTTTCTGGTGCCTCACAGTGGCTGGACTCTGCCCGTCCCAGTCTTGAAGCTCTTCAATGCTGCTCAGATAGAGCAGGGCTTTGAGGCCAGTGCAATAGTCTTCAATCACAGTAAAATCCTGATTCTGAATAGCACTGCACACCTGGAAAAGATGGAACAAAAACCCAACATCAAACCAAGAGCTCATTCTCCAAACAGATCCACTTTTCATATTTCAACAAGTATTTATGTTATATACCAGATGCTGAACTAGGTGTGGTGGATCAATGGCTGCCTGGTTTTGGGGGTGGTAGGGAGGGAGGTACTGCAAAGGGGCACAGGGGAACTTCCAGAGATGATGAATGTTCTCATTAACTTGCTGTGGTGATGGTCTCACAGTTACTCACACATTTCAAAACGTATTATATGTACAGCTTATTTTATGTCAGATATACTTCAGTACAGATGTCAAAAATTAGGTCAAGAAAGTGAACATTCAAGGAGTCAAATTTGGCACAAGACATTTTAGCTGCCATTTTCATTTTCCCTCACATTTTCCATGTTCTTTCTTTGCATTTGTGCCTTTCCTAGAAGGCCACCCTTCCTGTGCATGGCTATCCACCAACCATTCCTCAATCTCCTTCACTTCTTCAAAAAAGCCTCCAGGAACCCAAAACAGGTTAGTTATCCATTCATTCAGACATCTTTGATTTATAATTATTGAATGATATATATTTGACAACTGGCTCCCCAGTTAGACTAAAGCTTAAGGAAGGGGGAACCATATTTTTGCTGGTCATTATATCATCCCACAGCACAGGGCTTGTCACATATTCTACTCTCAACAAAGGTATGTTCTGTGAATGATGATTATGAAGGGATATTGTTTTAATCATGTTAAACTACATTGAATGATCTAGAAACACAAACCTATTTCCCACCCCTTATTTCTTGAGTGATAATAAGTCATAAAACAGAAATCTGGAGTTAAGAATGAATCAGAGAAATTGGGGGTCTCTCATTAAAACTATACTTGGGATTTTGTGACTGTGGTTGGGATATGAGCTAGAAATGAGGGATGTGTATTTAGAGAAGGACTTCTAGCCAGGCTTGGTGGCACATGCCTATAATCCCATCAGCTTGGGAGACTGAGGCCAGAGAATTTTAAGTTCAAAGCCAGCTTCAGCAATTTAGAGAGGCTCTAAGCAACTTATCGTGGCCCTGTCACAAAACAAAAAATAAGAAGGGCTGGAGATGTGGCTTAGTGATTAAGTACCATTGGGCTTAATTCCAGGTACCAAAAAAAATAGAGAAGGGTTTCTAAGGTGATTACTCCATCCAGTTGGACACCACATGTATACTCTACAGACACATTTACAATTGCCAATGGGACCAAAGAATCTATTCCTCAGGAGGAACAATTTGAGCATTCATTAAACCTGTTATAGCTTTCTTAGAGTTGATTTTTTCCCCTAGAACAATTATAGAGAACATCATTATACGTTCCTCCACAGGTATTCAGGTATTTTCAACTAATGTTTTAGTTAATCCTCTTTGTTCACTCTCAGATCCTATTTTTTATAGTATATTCTTATGAGTGTGCTTTTACTAAAGTTTTAAAATAGTTCACCATATGAACATAAAAAATCAGATTTTGAAAATCACATCATGTCACATACTTTATGAGATGTTCATGACTACTGTGAAAACCTGCTGCTAAAAGAAATCTAGAAATACTTTGCAAGGAAAGAATAGTAAATTTTATCTGAGTCATTATAATTTTTTCCAATGAGAAGAAATCAATCCTATTAATTTTCTTAGATCATAGACATGGCACACTTTGTATATGGTGGACTTGGTCAAGGGGTGAAGTGATCAAAATGCAGAGTTGGCATCTAAACCATGGGAGAACACAGTGGTGCCTAAGGCTAGACTTCCTCTTTCCCATCCCTTATTTCTTTGGCCTACAGTGTAAATGCTATGCATAATTGGAAGCGAGACTGAGTATGTGAAGAGATTGCAAAACCTGAAGAGGGAGTAGAGACTATAAGATAGCACCTTGAGTGGGGAGGTGTGGTGTATACCTGTAATCCCAGTGGCTTGGATGCTGAGGCAGGAGGATGGCAAGTTGGAGGCCAACCTCACCAACTTACCGAGGCCCCTCAGGACTTAGAGAGACCCTCTCTTAAAATAAAACATTAAAAAGGGGGCTGGGAATGTGGCTCAGTGGTAAAGCACCGCTGGGTTCAATCCATAGTACCAAAAGAAATCAAAAACTGAGCATGGCTGGGATGGGGGAAAATGCTTGAGTCTGGTAAAAAACATGGATACTGGAGGGACTACTTCAGACATATTTAATCAAATGTCAAATGTCATATTATTTATGTACCTTCCTAAAGTGAGTAATTTAATTTCTATTCTCCACAAAGAATAAACCTATTAATTTTCCTGATATAGACCTTGATGGAGGAGAAACTATGGTTGTTAGTAGGAAAATGACACATTGATATTTTCTTTAAAATTTCTAAAACACACACAATCTTCAGGAGATTTTATTAAAATGCATAATCTGGTCTGGACTGGACCCTGGAATGGGATCCTGCATTTGATGATGAGTTTCCATTTCATGGTGATGCTTTGGCTCATACCTGGAATAGCAGTGTTAAGCATTGGTAGGATGAAACGCTATCTGTGATGCAAGTTTCTTCTAAATTTTTACTATTCGATTGTATCAATATTTTCATAGTTCTTTTAAAAATGCTACTTATAATAAGAAATTATGCTTGGAAAAAACAAGTAATTTTTGGATTAGTAATATGACTAAAAATAAATCTTCAGATGCAAGCAGACCATTCTGAACAGAGCGTTGTCCATGGGATTTGATCTCAGAAACTGGGATTGCTCAGAAAGGTGCCTTTTTATTGGATGACCCTTATATCTCATTGAGGGCTACATCTCTATCTCAAAGATAAACGGTTCCTTTTAAAACTCCAAACATGTAGCTGCTATGCCTAAATGGGTGTATTTTATATGACATCTCTTAATTGTTTGTTTAACAGCTCTGATTAGGACTCTTAATAGCTGTTAACATGTTTGCTTAGTATAATTTGTAAGTTCTTTGTGGTGAAGGCTGGTTTATCTTTCTTCACAGCAGGGCACCAGGTGCCACTGTAAGGATTGTTGCCACCATTAATTATTTGTATAAGTGTAAGTATCCCTACAGCTAAGCTGTCTTAAATAGGAGCCTCTAGAATCTCAGCAGGACCAGCCGGATGTAGGTAGGTGATGGCCACCTCTGCTGCGGAGCTTGAGATGTGTCATAAAGTTCTCTCTGCGTCAAGGGTGACACAGTGCCTTGAAGTTTCCCTTTGGATACAGGCACTCATAACAAAGGTCTGTCTCTGCAAAGTGACTGTACAAATAATACCTGTGAGGTAACCAGAGGGCCAGGAAGGGTTCTGTTTCTTTCTCATTAGATTGCCCAGATGAATAGTAAATTAGCTATTTGTGGAGATTTACATCTTAAAAATCTCCTTCACATGGCTTATTTCTTTCAGTACTCAGAATAAGCCTGATTTAGGCAGGATAGAGGGTAATATTCTTAATTTAAAAACGAAAGAGCTTGAACTTGAAGTACTGTTTCTTAAGGCCAAATCTACTGGGTTTAATGCCATATCAAGTTAAGAAGTTAAGAGCACACACATAGGTAGGGAAGGATTGGGTTCAAACCACACTGTAGCTTTTTATCTTGAGCAGCTTCCTTCACCTAAAAATGAGATTAAATACTTAGCACATAGAAAGCTAAGGTAATATACTCCAGTTCTTCAAATAGTAGCTGGTACTCTGTAAGCTAGATTGGCACCAGAAATAAATTTCATAATATGAATAAATCATTAGAGCATAAATTAGATATGATATAATGTTTTAAATCTAGTGCTTTTTTATTCTAATGATGATAAATGGCATAGACCTTATTTTTATTTGCATTAAATAATTTCATATATATATACATATGTATATATAGTATATACAATGTGTGTGTGTATGTGTGTGTATGTGTGTGTGTGTGCGCATGTTTATATATATGACTTTGGCCTTGTTGGAATATAAATATTTGAGATCCTCAGTCATTGAGTAACTGTGTGAATAGGGCTATTCTTTTAGCCTCTGCATCCCTTCCCCCTCTTCCCAATCTAAAATAGGTAGATGATAACATCAGATTGTTGTAAAGACTAAATTACATCATGAAGTTGGAAGTGTTGTGGAAATTATAAAACTCAGTTGAAATGGTACTAAACCTCATCAATATTATCAAGTAATCTAGAATTTAAAGTGCCTAGAGAAAGTAAAATGGAAAGTTTTCCTGTTTTTTTTTTTTAAGCCAACTTCTTCTGAAATGTCAAAGGCAATTTATTAGGAAGCTATCAAAATGAGATTAAAAAGAGTGATCCCTGGTAAATAATCTGGTAAATAAAAGCTCTGCAAAAGCAGAACACCCTGACATTGGCACATGTTTTTGTGTGGTAGAGCAGCACATTTTTTCATATATTTAAAATGTGAAGAATTTTTTTTAAATGAGGAACTTGATCTATTAGATGCAATTCAGACAAACCCAAAACCATAATTACCACTTGCATTTCTTATAAAATAGGTGTACAAACTAACAATCTATATCTTAGAAATATATGTGTCCAGGACATATGCAAGTAAGATATATATTTTACATACAAAGTAATCTCAAAGCTCCAGTAAAGTCATTATTAAAAGAAATACTGGAGAGTAATTACATTAAAGCCCAAATTGGAAAATTCTCTGCAATGTTACTTTCACTCCAAATTACGTTAATAAGAGTCTTATGTACTGGGAAAAGGTTGAAACATCTACCCATGAACTGAAACACTATTAAAGAGGATCTTCCATCTGATTCTTAAAAGATTTCCAAGAAAGAAAAGATTCTATGATGTCTCTATTAATATGTTTTGATTAAAGTTAGCCTACTTAAAAATATTTATATTTACAAAACATTTGCAATATTTCATATATTGCTTTATAGTTTTAAAATGGTGTTAAAAGATATTTATATAGTGATTTACAGTTTGAAAATACACTCACAAATAAGATTAAAGGGAATTTATTAGATGTTTGCATACCAGCCTCCTTATT